GGAAACGTCTCTCCTTTCTGCCATTCCCTAGAGCCAGGGTCTCTCTGGGGCACCCTGCCTTGCTGAAACTCCAGGGTCCAAGCCCAGTTTTATTCAGTGCCTCATAACCAAGAGGTACTCTGAACTCAGCTGGGGAGGAGACAGATTTCCATTGCTAAATTACCACCAAGAAAAGGACTGAGTGTGAGACTTACCACCGTCCAATTCCCCTTGCATGAATTCCAGCTTGCAGTTGAGCCCTAGGGTTAAGTCTAGCCTGGATTCAAGCAGTGCCTCCTCAACCCACCCATGGCTGGCCAGGAGATGAGAGGAGAGGACTGGAAGGCAGGAGGAGAATTTGCTCCTGGAATGGGTCACCTGGCTGTGGGAACTGAGCCCATTCGCCAAGGAAACCGGGAAGCCATCCCTACCTTCTTCTCAGTCTTACAGAGGCTGGACTGTGGTCTGGGGAATCACCTGCTCCATCCATGAGTGCACCAGCAAACAGCAGAGCGTGTCTGAGCAGTTCGGTGGCATTCACTCAGACCCCGCTCAAGGGGTCTGCAAGGGTGCCCCAGCTGAGGTCCCATGGGGCAGCTTCTGGCTCTCCACCCCCACCTCTTCCTAAACACCAAAACCAAGAGAGAGGACAGAGAAGACAGACCTTTCCACAGACCATCACATGGGATCTGCTTTTCTTTCTCCAGCCAACACACCTAGCAGAGTGGCAAGGACAGAGTGCAGACAGCTCAACCCCTTGGCGTCACCGAGGCCAACCAAGACTTGGCTGGGACCTGCTCTGCCTCATGGAAAGAGAGAACTGAAAGCAGAGACCCAAGGGAGTTGTTTCTCGTGATTGTTTTCTCTTTTACCTTGAGTGGAGCCTCGTTGCAGCTGTCAGTGATCAACACAGTCCTGATCATACTCCTTTCTAACTGCAAAAAAACTCCCACTAACCTCTTTCAACCTCAAGGGAGGTTTGAAAAGCAGCTGGCAGAGACCACTTCAGGACCTAGGTCGCATGGATGGATTGAAGGCAACACTGGGGAGCCCTTCCTCTTCCTTCCTCCTCTGCCAGGACAGCAACGCCTAACAGCCCTTGTGGGCTGTCTCTCACGCCTGCACAACTCAGTCCTGTCTGAACGGGGGCAAGCTGCACCGCTACAAGTCGTATTTCTCAGCCTGAACTACTGCTTTGCACCATGGCAGCTACAGTTGGCAATAGATGGCCAAAAGCCTCAGGTGCAGAAGAGGAGTTGGGAAATACGCTGTGCTGGCTTGACTAAGGGCTGCATCCTTCCCCTGCACTCTTCCCCTTCCTGCCCAGACTATTTTTCTCCCCCAGGGGAGCAAACACTACGTGCTTCTGTTCTAGAAGTACTGGTGACCCACCAGGTGTGATCAAGCATAGCCACCACCTGAGCAGATGTATTTCCCAACTAGATTTACTGTCCTCCTCCCTCACTGAGAAGTCCCTCTAATTTTTAAGACTGAAGTAACCAGAAGCAGGAAGTTGCATCACTCGGTAAAGGTCACATTCCTTCCCCTTTTAGTCCAGATTTAGCACCAGTTTGAAGCCACAAGACTCAAGTGAATACTAGGCAAGACAACCGCAGCTTCTGGAGTGATGCAGGTTAGAGCAGAAGTGGGTTTTTGGTTAAATAACCCAATCTACTGCATGCCTGACCTCTCCTGTCTGAAGTCCTATAGCTTTTCCTGGAAAAGGCAAGTAATTCTTTCAATGGCACCTCCAAAATCAGGGGTCCCCAAATTAAGACTTGTGGACTACTGATGACCACAACAAGTAGCCTCAAGGGTGTCTGGGGGACCCATTTACATTTCTGGGGGATGTTGCTTACAGGCTGCTTCATACGGGAACCTGTTGGTCCACGGGAAAACTGGAGGGCTGACAAGGCTAAAAGCAAAGACTAAGCCTGTCTCAGCTTTGGCAACACACCTTAGGACTAACTACCCACTCACTCAGCAGCCCTAATTTTCCAAATCGGGAAAAAGAAGTGGTGGTGGGATGTCCAACTTCAGGCATCCAAGATGGAGGAGGTGAGCATCCAAACGTGAGAGCCCCCATTCCCCCCGGAGCACTCATGGAAAGCGAGATGGAGGCAGAGGGGAGCAAACTCATTAATTTGTTATGAGGAGGGAAGGGGGAGGGAGGTGGTGAGGAAGGTGGGACAGGCAGTCAACTGCAGCTCAGAAGCAAGCCCTCCCCCAGAAAATGAGACCCAAAAGCAAAAAAAAAAATACACATTAGCAGATGTTATCAGTGGTACCACTACTTCTAAGAAACAGCGTGTCCTTACCAAAAAGATTTGCAAGAATGTTTGTGGCCGAGGACCTAAGGTACTTGCTACAGAGATGTGAGATCAGAGGTCAGCTCAATCCTGCAACATAAAGGTGGCAAACCTGGGTCACAGCAGATCAGCAACACAGTCGGTGTGCGTGGAGCCGGGGAGAGGGATGGAACTGCCGAGGGAGAAGGATGCAGGACTGGGCTGAGCCGCTGCGCTCAGCTTGTCCGGGAGCTTACCTGGCAGCAGCCCTGCCCCCTTACACCACCTGCAAGGCCTGAAATGAAAAGCTGCTGATGCCACAGTGAAGAGTTGGAAGGGGGGAAAGTAAGCCAGCAACAAAGCAAGACAAAAAAAATTCACAAAGCTGCCTTAAGGAAACAAACAACACAAATATAGAAGAAGAGAAAATAAAGGAGCAGTAGGAAAAACACGTCTGCCAATGGCCCTCAGAGTAGAGGGCTGCTGAGAGCCTCCAAGGGACCCCAATGTCCAGGCACTGTCCGTCAGTCCTAGGTGCACTGTCCTGCCCTGGGACCGCTCCAGACAGACATGATCAACGATGCCTGGGAGGTCCCACGTGCCCAGGAAAGGTCCACCAGCCCCCGGAGCCGGTTCTACAGCCCTGAGTACAAAACCCCCGTCCCACTGCTGTCCGTAGGCAATGTCCCCTCAGTGTCCCCAGACCCCCAGGTGACAGCAGGAGCATTTGTTGCCACAGATGAACCAGCCAAAGGCCTACAGGACTTGTGGCCATGAAAACCTCAGCAGCGTTTCCTCAGCTGGTTTGGATGGAGCTGCTGGTGCAAAGGGTTTGAATTTGCCTGCTGTAGGTAGATTTTTTTTTTTTTTCCTCTCCAATCGGTGCTTAGCAGGATCCTGAAAAGCAATTCCCATTGAGCCCCACGGGTTTCACTCACATTCACACAGTTCATTCCACCACCACCCTCCCCAAGTGAAAAATACAATGACGCTAACAGACCTGCTTAGGATTTTACAGGTTGGGGGCTCCAGGCACGATAAAGATATAACAAAAGGAAGAAAGCAAACAACGTTTTTCCTGATGCCACCAATGCTGAATCAACCCATTGCCAGAGGAAACTGGAGCTCATTTCTGTTGCTGACCCCAGAGCACACAGCCCTTGCAGTTCTTTGCTCCTGGCAGTGCTACAAGGCAGGTGAAGCCCAAGATTTGAGGACAACTGGGAGCCCAGAAGCCAGGGGAGAAAGGGAAGGCATCTCTTGATGGGAAAATTGGGTTTGACATGGAGAGAATGGCTGTGGGCTGCAGGCTCGGCCCGTGAAGGCAGCCTGCACGGAGCCCTGTGCACCACCTGAGTCTCCCACAGGACCAGAGTGAGGACACGTCCATGCCAGCCCTTGGGCAGGTCTCTGGATTTATGCTGCGTACCACAGTGCCCTGCTCATGCCACGGAGAGAAAGCCTGGCCAGCCCAGCCACCAACAACGTGGAGATGTTGCCCAGAGGCCTCGAGGCCAGGCTTGCCAGCAGGATCATGCCTGACCCAGGGGCAAGGTGTGATCCCTCCATCCTTGCCTTCCCTGCTGCGCTCAAGTTTCCACTTAGTCTGTGTCAGGCCTTTATACCATGCCAGTTGTGGTGGTACCCAAACCACGGCATCCCAGGCAAGGCGTGACAAATTCCCCCAAATCATCCCAGGAGGTGCACACCAGTGGGTAGAGAATTGAGTCCCAGAGCCCTTGGGGTAGCAGCAGAGAGAACAACATGTCCCAGGCTTGTCTTGAGCCACCACTGGGGAAATCGGTTCCCTGCACCTCACCCAAGAGGGAAGGGGTACGAGCTGCACACGTCTGCTAGGGAGCAGCCTGCCACAGAGCCTGCTTGTAGGGCAAAGCCCTTGGCTGCAGGGTTTGGTGGCTCTGGTTTAGCATGGGCTCTGGGTGCCCGTGGGCTGAAGGACTCCCTCCAACATGGGCAGAGACTTCACACTGACAGCACAGACTGGCTTTGGATAGGGCTTTGCAGCTCGAGGTGCAAGGTTGGGTTTGATTTCCCTTGTGTAGGTTGGGAAATCTTTAGCTAGAAAGTTTGTTTTCACTAATGGGACAGGCTCTTCCTTTCTTCAGGCAGGGCTCAAGCCTAGGAGGAAACTTTAGCAAAAAGTGCGAGATGGACAATTCTCCTTCTCTACCAGGGCCATTACCTGGCAAATCCCCACCATCACTTACAGCTGAGGAGCCAGCCCTAGGTACAGACATTCCCAGTCTCAGCCCCATCACAGCGAACTCTAAAGGTCCACACTCACTCACTTTGCTCTGGTATTTCTGAGCTATGCCCATGTCCTTAGTTTGGGGGCTATCCACAGGGTAAAGGGGGGGGAAATAACTAGAGATCAGGTCCTCAACGGATGTAAATCAACGTGATACTAATGGGATCAGGGGAACTACACCAGCTTGCATCAGCTGGGAAATTTGGTCTAAGCATCCAGAGAAGGAGCTTGAACAGCTCCAAGGGTATATAGGGCCACAGTGTCTTCATCTCCTAAATCAGCGTGACTTTATTTGTTCTCATGTCTTCCTGGGTGGGAGAGGTCTGGCCCATGGTGCAATGAGATGTTGAGCCCAAGGCTACCCAGGTAGTCTGGGGAGAGAGAGGTCTGAACACACCCAGGTAGCTTCAAGAGGATGCCAACCACATGGCCTTGGGCAAGAAGAAAAAGGCAACTCAACTTACCTTTGTTCTTCCTCAAGTTCTTCTTTGGTCATCATTGACTTGTACTGGTTTCCCCTCAGCTTTCCAGGACTGTATTTAAAAGAGAATGTCTCATCTGCAGCTGGAGAGTGGGAGAGGGAGAGACAAAGAAGAGCAAGAGATTGTGTGAGCCAGAGACCTCCCGAGAGCAATGATCAACAGCAGTGGGCTTGTTCCCTTGAGCTTCTCGCTGACCCCTGCTCCCACACACGCACCCTAAACGCTATGGCCACCCCAAAAGATACTTCCAGAGTCAGCTCCAGTCTGAGCTGCTCCAGAAAGCCTGGGCAGCGTCGGGGAAGCTGTGTGGATTGCGGTGGAGAGCCAAGGTGTTGCTGGCCAGAGGACGGCAGGAGTCCCAGCTGCAGCTAGCACTGGAAACAGCGAGGACTACTGTGAGTGAGCAGCCCTGCTTGGAAGCAGATACAAGTAAATCCTACAGCACAGGCACCATATGCTATTGCTCTCTTTGGATTCAAAGCCTTGCAGGCCCATCTTGGCTTATCAAGACATGCTAATCCTGCCCTGATTAGCTCGCAGCATTTTCCGCTTCTCCTCTCCAGACTTGCATTCCTCCTCTCTCCCTCTCCTTGTTCAGGGGCCCTTTCCCATGCTTGGGGCTCACAGATGGTGCCGCGAGCAGAGCTGTCTCAGGCCACGCAGCCCAGCAACTCTCCTGCAGCCCTCGACAAAGCCTGTGAAAAAAGGAGGTGCCACACTGCAAGTCCCAGGGCTGCAAACAGAGCTGGGCCAAGGCAGCCCCAGGAGCACCAACACAGCTGGGTCCAAGTCCCTCTGTCACCAGCCGACAGACCTGAAGAGGAAACTGAGGTCTCCTTCTCCAGGCCTGGGTGCTCTCCTACCCGGCTCGCCAGCCTCAGCCCTGTGCTAATTAGAGCACCGAAGCTCACGGACTCTGAGCCAAAGCCGATCCTTTTCCAATCGGATTTTGTTCGAGCACTATTTGCTTTTAAAAACCTCGCCCCTGCTTTATCTTCCTACAGACAGGAGAAAACAACAGGAGTGGAGGTCAATCCAAAGGGCAGCCCAGGAAGAGCGGCTGCTTCAGGTAGTTGCCTTTATTGGTTATCTGTGGGCTTTTTATCTGTGAGCCTTTATCTCCCAAGGACTGCAGGACTCTGCTGCTGTGCGTCGAGCCATCTAGCATCGCTGTTTCCACATCCACCCAGAAACATCTGCTGTTTCCACCAACCCTCGGAGCCCTGGGGATACTTCTAAGGGGTCCATAAAAAGAAGATGTTACTGTATTATCTGCATGGCCCTGAAAAATTGCACGTTATCCACAAACCAAATATCCAGGATGATACCTCCCAGCACCAGCAAGACCCCAGGGGTGGTAAAACTCCTCTGTCTTCTGTGGCAGGAGGGAAAGCCCCAACTTGTACATAAGCTACTCCCTGTCCCCAGCCACCTAGGAAGCCCCTTCCAGTCCTCACCACTGCTATTGCAGGCACCACATTCATGACAGTCTCTCCTCCCCCACCTGCCCAAATGAAAAACACCCCACAGCCCCTCTCCTCCCTTCCTCACACCCAGAAGGATTCAGCTACAGCAGCTTCCCTTTATTTTCCAGTCAATACTCCTCTTAAGGATTTTCTCCCCCTGTCCAGGGTCAACCGCTTGATTTAGCGATTTCTCCCACCCCAAGCTCACGCATGCACTCAGCTGCTGCCAGAGCTCTCACGGACCTCGGGGACCCCCATGCGAAAGACAGGTCAGAGCCTCATTTTGTAGATGGGGAAACCCGAGATCTCAAAAACAAGCCGTGCAAGGCTGCGCGGGCAGGTACGGGACCGAGCGTGCTGACTGCTGCAAGGTCACTGCCACCAGCGTACAGAGTGTGCCTGGAGTGATGTTAGCGGGCTGGGAATTTAACAGAAACCTCCTCCCTGCAGATACCCACATTTCCTCCCTTCTTCTCTACATCTCTGTGTCCCCGATCTTGGGGAGCTTCCCTGGGAAGTCCTGGTGGATTGCTGCTCAGTTACTGATCCGGAGTGTTTCTCTAATCCCAAAACACCATCGGGGCTCCTGGGGGAACGACGAGGCAAACCCTTTCCCTAGCGTCTTCACAAGTGTCCGAACACAAGCACCCCTATGCTCCGATCCCGCAGCCCCAAACGTTCAGCTTGGCCATATCCCACTTCCCTCAGTGGGAAACCCTCCAAACCAGCAGACAAACAAGTCTGGCCAGCTGGAAACAAGCGGTAATGCTGTGGCTTATCAGCCCTTCGGGTGGCCGTAAAAGTGCACGGAAAGAAAATTCAGCTGGCTGCTGCTTTGGGAGATATTAAGGAAAGAAAAAAAAAAAAGAAAAGAGGGTGTAACATCCTGTTTCTTACCCCGATGCAGAGCAGGAGCCATTTCATTACCTTTGTATAGCTTGCCTGATTTCAAGGACAATTAAGATCATTTTCCTCATGTGGTTTTCTGCCAAGTAAATTGAGATTTGGGATTTTGCCTGTCCCAAAAAAGGGCTGTTTAATTGCCACCCTGCCAGAAAAGAATAGGGGAAGAGGGAGGCGAGGAGGCTATCCATCTCCCTGCCCACATGTTGTGGTTAAAAAGGAGCCAGTGTGCGGCTTTGGAAACCACTGGATGTTTTCTGAGCTCAGGAACTTTCTTTGTAGACTGAAAACAAACTTCAGGAAACACATGGAAAAGGGGAGGCCGGGTTTTCACGTGGACAGCGAAAACGCTACAGAAATATGAGGTGACCTACTTACTCAGAGCCTCCGTGAGTTCATATTAAAGAAAACATTTGTCTTTCATCTCTCTGCCCTTGCGTTGCCAGCACCGTGACCCTGGGCTCGCAGGGTGAAAGCAGCCCCTCGAGTGCACCTCTGCTCCGAACACGCTCGCTCCAGCGTGCCCTGTGCACGCAGCAAGTACCTGCCTCCTCCCTGCGAGCCTTGCTGCCCGAAGCGGGGAGAAGGCTGCTCTGGTGGTTTTGGCCACCATGGCAGCATCCCGGGCTGGTGACAGACTCCCCATGCCATCCCCATGTGCCCGAGGGGAATCTCCGCTCGTGGGCTTGCTGGGCAGCAGCTCAGTGGCTTGAGTTGGGTCAGGACCAAGCGATGCGCAGGAGAAATGGTGAAGGAAGGAGCGAGGTTTCTCCTGTGCAAAGCCGGGGCACCACCGTTATTCCCAGCTGCACACCACTCACCTCATCATCATCAAGCTGAGACATCGCTTTACCCAGTCCTGTTAAAACACCTCAGAAATGGTGTAAATAAGTCAGGAGAGGAGTCGGTGGCTGTCTGCAGGAGACGTTTAGGGAGGATGCTGGGGTAGCCATGACCCATGGCAAGGGACTGTCATCTCCACGTGCTCCCGAGGCACAGCCACTTCGGGGTGATGCACAGCAGTGCTGGAGCAGCCCTGAAACAGGGCTGAACCAAAGGAGGCAGACCCTGGCAGAGCAGCGTTACTGAGCATCCATTTGGCAGGATACGTCCATCATTTGTCAAACCAGGTCTCCCACAGTCCCACACAGTAACATCCCCGATCACCAGGGCTGCGAGGAAGCCTAACGGGGTGCAGTAAGTGTCTTTTGGGAACCCTGTCTCCAAAGGCGCTTCCCCCACCTTGTGGGCACGGCACCAGGATTAAAATTTGATTCTCTGTCGCATTAGGCATAATCCTTCCAAGCCAGGGGATTGCCACACAGTGCCTTAAAAAGGGCAAGTGGAAAGTGGGGCAGGGAAGGGGGAACGCCCCAAGCTCTCCTGCTGCCCACGGTCACCCCGGGCAGGGGCTCTTGGAGACATCCCAGCATCTCTGGGGCTGCTCAGAAGAGCAGAGTCCCCTTCATACACACACTCTTGCTTGGCACCATCTGCTTCGTTTTCTTATGAGTGCAGCAGTTGTCACCTCAATTAGTCAATTAATCATTTTCCAATCAACTAATTGGCTAATCAGTTAAACATGGCTCTGACTAAAGCCCCTGGAGATCGTCCTGCATGCGAGCAAGGAGCTTTTGGGGCAGCTTCATCACAAAGCTACGTCATGGCAAACAGCCCAAGGGCATCTGGGGAAGCGAATGGGCTGCTGTGGGGTAGGAATTTCCTCTGCATTTCCTGGAGGAAGGAGACCATCCCTAAGCACTCGGGGCTTCAGTCCCTCAGACCCGTCCGTACCCTCCCCGCAGGGTGCTGGCTTGCTTGGCACTCACCATCCTCATCCTCTGGCTCTCTCATCACCAGCTTCTCGTTTTCTGAGTCTGGATCTTCCTCCTGGAGGAGTTAAAAACAGAGCAGCCGTGAGGAGAAGGTGCTGTGCTAAATAACCCGTGCTCAGCCAGGGCACCAGAGCCCGCAGGGCAGGGAGGCAGAGACCAGAGCTCCTGAGGCAAGGGCTGGGTACCCCTCTCCTGCCTCCTTCACAGAATAGGCCAAACTGATGCTTGCTAACGAGCGAGGTTCGTTAGTCTGCTCTCTTCTTGCTTGTCAGTGAGGGAGATTTGGCCTTGCTTACTGCACTCCCACCCAAAGGCCGCGAAATGCAAGTGCCTCCCCATAATCGAGGAGATATTAAGGTTTTTAAGAAGAACCTGCTATCCCGGTGTCCCCAGGCACAGCCTTGTGCCCGAGAACCCTCCCAGGCTGGCACCCCCTGCGCTCCCTACCCTGCCCAGGGACGTGCAGGGGACTGAGCCACAAGCCATGGGAACTTCTCCTGTGTGCCCCCATGCCAGGCTTGGATGGGCCATCCCAGCGCTAGGAAAAGGCACGTCCCCAGCAAAAGCCACCTTGCAGCCACGGGCCAACCAGCTGCTCCAAAGCACAGGAGCACTCACCAGCCAGGACCGGTGGTTGAAGGGGGTTCGTGCTGGGACCCCGCCAGGACCCCTCCCAGCCTCGCCTGGCAGCAACCCCCCGAGACACCGCTGGCTGCTGCCCGTGGACCCCCGGCCCCTCGCTCCTCCGAGACATGCCTGCCCACACACACTGCAGTGGCACAGCTGATCTCTGGAGCACAGACAAGAGCAGCAATGGCACTTTTTTTTTTTTTTTTATAAATGCAAAGCAATTTTGGAAGTTTTGGGGGTTGCCTCCTACAAGCTGCAACAAGCTTTATCAAGCCCAGATTCCTTCCTCTTGTGGTACACACAGCAGAGAGTCATGCAAACGGCAAACAGGGAGGGAGAGGACTGCTCCAGCTCTGGAGATAAGACAGGGACACGTGGCAATGCCCCCACATACGTGCCTCCCTCCCGGAAAGCGCAGCACCCAGCACCCTGGCTGCAAACCCCCGTGAGCCGAGCCCAGAGGTTGACAGCACCCTGGAGCACGTGTCCTCCTGCATACTCCCCAGCCCCATGCATTCGATACGAAGTGATGTGCCTGGCGTGCAAAGGGCAAAGCACGTGGGAGAGAGGGGAAGGAGCCTGGCAAGCCACCACACTGTTGAGGACAAGGGAAAAGTTGGGGTGAAGGAGACCTGAGGGAAACGAAGACGGTCGAAGAAGGACCCTGCGCAGAGCTGAGCTCTGGCTTTGCAGTGCACAGTGTTAGATAAACTGCTGGAGCGCGGTATGCAGTCCCGACCCAGAACTAGGTTAGTTTGTCATCGGTGAGGAATGCACATTATTCACAGCCATTTGGCTTCTTCTCGCCACTCTGCTCTCGGGCTCCCCAGAAGGACATGCCACCGAGACCCCTCGCCCCCCACAGCCACCGCTATTTTGGGCCACGCTTCCAAACATGGGCACTTCCCGCCGGACACCCGGGCTTCCCCCGGGGACAGCTGGGAGCGGGGCAGCACCCAAAGGAGAGGCCTCAGGGAGGGTTTGGGGAGGAGATGCCCAGCCCTGGCCCTGGGAACTCAGCCACAAGCCCAGGGCAGTAGTTCCCCATCACATCCATCTCTCCCTGGGAGCCGGGATTCCCCCAGGGAGACCCAACCCTCCAGGAGCCGGCACAAGAAGGGATATTTTAGCCTGTTCCCTGCCCGGGCATTAGGAACTGAGCATTTCTGAGCGTTTAACAGTGGAAGCAAGTAGGAAATTTGCCAAACCTCCAAAGAAGGAGGATATCTCTGCTCCAACCCAGAGGAAGAAACATTTGATGGGAGCAGAGAGGGAGCAGCCAGGGATGCCAGGCTGGCAGGCGATAGCAACGTGCCATGGCCGTGCTGGGAACCCCCCTGCTCGTGGCAGCCAGTAGCTCGCTGCAACGCAACATTTTTCTGCTTGGATGGCTTAGAGGCAGATGCCAGCACCTCCCTTCCCCCCACACTGCAGCCCTGGCCTCGACATCCCAGTCCGTCTGCCTTGCTGGGGCTGCTCGCTCCCTCGCACCCATCGCTGCCCCACTGCCAGAGCCCCCCAGGCTGCCTTAGCGTGACCCCACTCGCTGACACCCCACCCCCAGGAGCCAGGCATCGCTCCCTGCACGTCCGAGAAGCACGTTTGCATCCGGAGTACTGTTTCTCTCCGCTTTAAATGGACCAAGTCATTAAAAGCCCACCCAAACCCCGCCCCAGCCAGGGCGCAGGAGGCAAGCTTTGTGTCCGTTCCACTCCCCCTCCATGGCCACTGCTACCCTGGGACGATGTCCATGCAGGGACACCAGCACACTGCTGTGCCACCCTCCCCAGGCTGGGTCTCTGTCCCACGCACCTCTGCCTTGCTGGAAAGCGCTGCATGGCCGCATCCATCCTCCGCTTGTCCTGTGTGCCCGAGGCTGGACCCAGGTGAGGCACCCAAAGGTGGTATCTGGAAAGAGGCAAAAGCTTTGAGCACAAATGCCCCCGAGCCCTCCCCGTACTCAACCAACCAGCCCCGGCAGCATCAGCACATGCGGACAAATCTCCGGATGCAGCCGGCAGCCCGCCTTGCCCAAGCGCCCGAGCCCACGCTGCCTCTGATCCGTATGCCAAGCCATGGCATGGCTGCTGGAGTGAGGAACACAGGAGACCTTCAATGCCCAGCCCTGGAGCCAGGGTTTGGAGCTTGTGAGCTGCCCTCTGTGGCAGCCCCAGCCCACGGGACCAGGACCCTTGCAAGGAGCCATCGGCGAGGGGGAACAGCTCAGCCAGCACCGGGCTCAGCTGCCGGGGTGTCCTGGCAGGGCTGGAGGCAGCTGCCCGGGATGCTGATGCAGCAGATCAGGGCTAGCAGGAGGGGAAAGGAGAGGAACATCACAGTATGTTCAGTTCGTTAATGCTCGCAGGGCCTGCTCTGCCAGCTGCCCTCTCCACCGCAGCGTAATAACCCCTTGAAACCCTCCTGTGCCCCCACTGCAATCCCGGAGCTGGGGCTTCCCTGCCCTCTCAGCCTCACATCAGCTTTCAACGCAGAATGGCCTTCACCCCTGTGCAAAGACTTCCTTCCCCTGCCCTCTCCCAGCCCAAACGCTTCTCAGCTGAACCTTTCCCCGCTGCGCCGGGAGGGCAGCTGCAGAGGAGGATACGCGTAGGCAGGGAGCGGGGACATTGCGTCCGTTGGCCTTGCGGCAAAAATACCAGTGCCGGGCTGGGAGCAGCCTCCGGGCTGGCTTGAAAAATGGTCGGCAGGGACAAAACCTTCACCCTGAGCCTGGCTGTGCCCACAGCCCCTGCCAGCCGGGGCAGAGGGGAGAGCCATCCCTGCCTGAAGCATCCCGACAGCCCCGGGGAGCCTGCCCCAAATTTCAGGGCTCCTCAGTCCTGCTGTGGCCGGTGGGTGCTGCTGTGCCGGTTCTCCTCGCAGCAGGGGGGAAATACCAGTGCCGGGCTGGGAGCAGCCTCCGGGCTGGCTTGAAAAATGGTCGGCAGGGACAAAACCTTCACCCTGAGCCTGGCTGTGCCCACAGCCCCTGCCAGCCGGGGCAGAGGGGAGAGCCATCCCTGCCTGAAGCATCCCGACAGCCCCGGGGAGCCTGCCCCAAATTTCAGGGCTCCTCAGTCCTGCTGTGGCCGGTGGGTGCTGCTGTGCCGGTTCTCCTCGCAGCCGTGAGGTAAGAGCAGCTGAGGCGGGGGCTGCCGTGCCCCAGGCACAGGATGCTCTGCAAGAGCAGGGCAGCGTCCTGCAGCTGAAAAATGGAGGGAGGAGGTGTTGGGGCAACGCTGGGAGACTTGACAACCGAAGAGGACACTATGGCACCCCAGGCATTGCTCTCCTATACGAAACACAGCCCAGGGGCAATACAGGGAGACTGTTTCGAGCGGTGGGGAGCGAGAGAAGCATGGACCAGGGCCAGAAAACAGCAGGAGCTGCTGGAGAAGCAGGGACCCGAGTGCTCCAGCTGCCAGCCCACAAGCCAGCATCTCTCCACAGTTGCACGCCGAACAAGAAAGCCTCCCCGCAGAAAAAAAAAAAAGGGCAACAAAAAGCGCTGCAGGGAGACCACGCACGTCATTATCCAGGAGCATCTGGAGGAGACTTGACACGGGCTGCCCAGGCCAGCTGCTGCAGCGAACAAAGATCGCATTGCCACCGGCATCCAAGGGGACGCGTTCGGCGGCAGCTGCCTGGCCCCGAGGCCACGCAGGGTGGGGAATACGCCCTGCACTCCCTGCCTGCTCCTGCTTGCGGGCAGGATGGACCCAGCCCACTTCACAGCACATCCCGTGCCCGCTTACGTCTGAATCATACCTCTGCACACTTTGCCAGGGCCTTTGGAAAGCCCAGCGCCTGCCACCGCAGGGTTAAAATCCAACAAGTCATTTACCTTAAATACCAATGCAGCAATACATCTGTCCTGGCTTTTGGCAGCTCTTGGCTTTAGAGCAGAAGCATTTGTTGGATCATCAGAAACACGTTTTTGCCCTTTAGCTTCCACAGCCAAGCGAGACGCCTGCGCATGAAGCTGACTCAGGAGCGAGGAGACAAGACCCCCAGGGACATTTTGGGCACAGGCAGCACCAACCACAGATGGCCCCAAGTTACGCAGGGGAGGATGGCTCAGACACAGGAGCTTGGTGTTGTCCCCCCCAAAATCCTCCCTCGTGGCTCTGCTGCCACGCGAGCCCTCTCCCAGCCCTACGGGAGATGGAGGCTGGGCTCCCCATCACAGCATCTCCTGGTTCGCAGCTCATTTCTGGCCATTTCCTCCCCACTTCCTCCGTCCCTCACACAAACCCCTCTGAGCAATGGGTTTCCCTTCTCAGAAGGGACACGCGGAGCCCATGGGGCTGGTGTGTTCCTCTCCCTGTCCTCAGTCATAGCGACGGCCCCGGTGTCTATGGGCAGGATGGGGACAAATGAGTGCCCCACTCCAGCTCCACGAAAAGGGAAGATCCCAGGCTGCAAAGCAGGGGGAGAAAATTGTCTTGGATTAAACTCCCAGGCCCTGCGTGTTGCCATTTATGGCTGCACTTTCTGCTCCAAGCCTGATGCAAGACTTTGCAAGAGGGAAAGAAAGCAGACAGGAGTCAGCGAGCCAGAAAGAGAAAAGCCAGGAGGAAAAGGGGAAGGAAGAAGCTTTTAAAAAAAGAATAAATAATAATGTTGGGCAGAGTTTAGCAAAGCAAAGCAGCTGCTATGTCGGCAGCTCCCTTTCACCCCACCACTGGGGCTCTCCATTCTCCCACCAGCCAGAGAAGCAACTGCTACAGAACAAGAGCGGTTTTTCTGCTCCGGGCAATGGTCCTGCCAGCCCCGGGGTGCCTGGCGGGGATGTGCCTCGTGCAGAGGTAGCGCTTCGCAGGTTTGACCCCCCCAGAGCGCAGGGAGCATCTGCTCCCACCAGTCCCCCAGTCACCACTGCGGGCAAGGATGAGGCACGGAGCGGCCAGAGCCCCACTGAAGCTCCAGGGCCATCCAGTCCCTGGCGAGGGGTCAGGCAGCACCAGGTCTGATTAGGAAAACACTGGCGCGTCCCACGGCAGGGTGAGGAGTCCCGGCTCAGCAGCACCCGTCCCCACAGGCAGTGTCATGCTCCAGTGCAGCACCCCCAGCAGTGCACCCAGCCGGCTCATCTGGTGCTCTTCCCTTTTTGCTCCGGCCTCTGGCAAGCAAATGCCACAGGCACCAACACTGGGACATCTCTTATTGCCGCGGATGGGCCAGACGGCATCCTTGGGCAGGCAAAGCCTGCCCTCGCCTCGAAGCCTTACCCGGCAGCCATTCACATGGATGGGCACTTCAGAAGGCAAAGAGTCCTCGTGGCCTCTGCTCCAGCAGTGCGCTGGCTCTAGGCAGGCTCCCGGGGCCGTACCCAGCCCAGAAGGGACTGAACAGCAGCCCAACCTCCCCAACCCACTGTAGGGGACGCAACATAAAGCCCAATGCAACCATGCCCCACGCCGCATCCCAGCGCCAGCCCTGTGCTCCAGCCCCGTGACTGGGATGGAGGGGAGGGCACGACATGCGCACAGGCTCCCCGGGGTGCGTGACACACATCCTGCCTTGCTTCCCAATTTGCAGACACTGCAAGAGATGATGCATTCGTTATTGGCACAAACTGCATCGGCTGAGAGCCACGGCACATCTGAGCGGTTACAGGTCTGTCAGGAGAGCCCCGCATCCCGCTGGCAGGGGCCTGTGCTGCTGCTGAGGCTGTGACGAGGGGTAGCACATCACCGCATCCCTCCCCACCGCGCTGCAGGACAGCAGAGCTCCTGCCCCAGCCCTGCGGCAGCGCGGAGGCAGCCTGCACAGCCGCCAATTAAAGCCAGACTAATTAGACACCCTCTCGCCTCTGGCGCCGGGAAGGCAGGCAGGAGGTATTGGAGGGGGAGATGCTGACTTCTTAAATTTAAAGAGAGTCCTTGCTGGGAGCTGGGCGGTTTGTGCTTCTGCTGCCTGGTGCGTCCAGGGGTGCCGGGAGCCCCCCAGGAAGGCACAGATGGGGGTGGGGGGCACAGGGGAAAGGTGCTGGGAGCTTTGCAGAAGAGGCAGGTGACATCCCCTTTGTGCCTTTGCTATCCGGGTGACAGCACAGCACGCTGTCCTGAACAGGCAGGGTCTGCATGGCCAGGACGAGCTGGCCACCTCTGAGTGCAAGGCCCTCCCTTGCTGGATGACCTCCAGAGCTGTCCCCTCTCTCCCCACTGTCACCCACTTGACCCTGCTCTGTTTGGAGCCACCAGCTGCGGTTAATCCTTGGCAAACCAGCCAGGCTGCTGTGCCCGGCAGAGAGCCTGGCACTGCCCGCTCGCCCTCCCCATCTCCAGAGCATCCCGGCCAGGATGGCATCCCAGCGGTGGCTCTGGACCACCGCTGAAAACCCTGCCCTGTTCCCGCCATCTGCCATGTCCACAACAGAAATACTCATTAGAGAACTGAAGTTTTCCGACTGTTTCTTGCAAGAACAAGACTCGGCAGCCCCAGTGATGCTGCAGTTCCCACCCAACAGCTTTTCATTAGGGGATCGCTTTGACAGCACTGCCTCATCCATTAACAAGCTGGGGATGGGGATGAGAACAGACAGCAACGCACTAATTAACTTTTTTTCAGTGATGGGAGCCAGCAGAGACAAGGGGAACCACTACCAGCAGTTAATGGAAACAAGGACTCCTGGGCTCCTTTCCCTGCTCTGCCACTGCTTCATTTTATAGCCATGGGCACGATGCTGCAACGGTCCGTTCCTCCCAGAGAGGGGCAGGGAAGCCTTGACCCACGCTGATTTTAGCAGCCGGCTGCACATCGCAGGCTGCCGTGGCAGGAGGTGGGAGCAGGAGGGAGGCTGAGCCCTACAGCTGCCCCAGCTCAGGGTGCTCAGCAGATACTGGTTTGCACGGGCAGGGAGAAGGGAAGGAAGGAGGCAGCGGGGTGCACAGCTCCAGTCAGCC